GAACAGAGAGGACAAACCACCTATATAATTCACTTTTGATACCTTTAAATCAATCTACTCAAGGCTGACCTCAGTGGTGAAGGCTTGGACAATGACAACTGGTCTTAGTATTGAAAGACATGACAAGTTGCTCTGGTAGGACAGAGAATTTATCCCTCCAAAAAAATCATGTGAAGATTGACTGTGGTCAGACATAGGACAGCAGATACTGATCTGAGTGGAAGGTTGACCAACATCAAAGATAGGATAGTGGCTTCTCATGTGAAAGGACAGGACAGATTGCAAGTATGAAAAACAGCCATGGACCTGACATCAAAAGCAACTATTCATAAGTGGCAGAATGTCAACTCATCCCAATCCTTCAACCATATCCCCAATGACCTATACATACATAGTCAACCACACTACAAACTATATGTCAGAAAAGTGGACACTACAAACTACTGTAGTCTGAAAAAGCAGACACTACAGACCATTGTAGTCTGAAAAAGCAGACACTATTAACTTTTGTAATGAAAAGTGGACACTACAAACCATTGTAGTCTGAAAAAGCAGACACTACTAACCATTGTAGTCTGAAAAAGTGGACACTACTAACTTTTGTAGTCTCAAAAAGCAGACACTATTAACTTTTGTAGTCTGAAAAAACAGACACTACAAACCATTGTAGTCTCAAAAAACGGACACTATTACTTTTGTAATGAGAAAAGCAGACACTACTAATTTTTGTAGTCTTTGTCTGACCTTTGTGGTCTATGTCCGACTTTTGTAGTCTATAAATAAACTTTGTAGGCTATAACTGACTTTTGTAGTATATCAGCAATCTTTTGTAGTCTGTCAGTGTCAATTACCCTTTTAGGGCATGTACCTTCCTTTTTGGGTGAAATTTCCCATGATACAATAGTTGTAGCCCCTTCTCTTAGCTTTCTAAATCTGTTGAAATCATGTTGTTTAGTGTTCTTTTCATGTAGAAAAATGCAAAAAAAAAAAAAAAAAAAAACATGCCACTTTTGAAAACATTTTACCTCATATCTCCACAATGAAAGCACTTTAGGACATAATTCCAACTGATTCAGGAAGCTATGGTGAAGAGCTACAACTTTTGTTTTTTTACCATTTTTGGAAATTGGTCATGTGACCACCCTCCCAATGCGGACCATAATAGCTATTTTATTGCTATCATGGAATATAATGAAAAATCATAATGATAGCCCTGGGGGTAGATATGAAATTGGAATGAAATATTGAGAGATACTCAATGAAAAATCCCAATGAAAGCTGTGGAACATTCAATCAAAGTGCACATCATTAATTATGAAAGAAGCAATGGATGCATATAACCTAGCCAATGAAATATTTATTGAAATGCACAATGAATGCACCCAGAATTGATAATGAAATATTTAATGAAAGTGCACAGCATTAATTAATGAAAGGGGAATGAAAATGGTTGAAATTCCTAATGAAATATACAATGAAAGCACACAGCATTAATTATGAAAGAGGCAATGAATACACCTGACCTAGAGAATGAAATATTTATTGAAATCACACAACATTACTTATGAAAAGTACAATGAAAACATCCAATATTCCTAATGAAATATTCAATGAAAGCGCACACCATTAAATATGATAGAGGCAATGAATACACCTGACATAGTCAATGAAATATTTATTGAAATTACACTGGATTGATTATGAAAAAAGCAATGAAAGCACCGAAAATTCCTAATGAAATATTCAATGAAAGTGCACACCATTAATTATGAAAAAGGCAATGAATACACCTAACCCAGTGAATGAAATACCTATTGAAAGCACACAGGTTTAATTATGAAAAGTACAATGAAAGAACTGAACAGCTTCAATGAAATATTCATAGAAAGCGCATGATAATAATTATGAAAGCTTTTATGAAAGCTCCTAAGAAATGTTATGAAAGGGTCCTGTGGTCTTTGCCTACATTTTATGAAAAGAACATAGCCTTTATGAGAAAGAAAGACACAGGACACACCTATGAAAGGCCTTTCATAAAACTTGTGGACTTATACACACAGCTCTACAGGCAAGTGCCTTGGTTTTATGATAAAAGTGGTAGCCACCAGTCAATACACTATGAGCCGCAATCGGGGAATACTATATAAACCGGGCTTTCCTGGACAAGCAGAAGGCGCGTGCCAATCATGCATCCTATCAGGATGCTGGGAACGGACGAGAAACACCCAGTGAGTATGTCATATGCAAGCTGGAGCTATTGCAGTTTGTTTATAACTACATGGATAGGGAATTGATCAATGAAATCGTGGAGGGTGCGCCTTCCTTCTGGAGATCAATTATCACGCCACACCTGTTCCAAGATCTTGAACAGTTACGATTATCAGTCAAGTTTCATGAAGATTCACTCCTCAATATGGGAGGAGGTGAAAATTCGTATCAGAATGCGAACTGACAGGGAAGTCAGGGCCAAGCCAAGGAAAACACTCAACAAAGTCCTTATAATCCTTTTAGGAACGTACACGTCAACTTGGTAGGATGGACCAAAGCGACTTCGAACCCTCAATTCCCAAAAGACGACTCTAATGTTTCACTGCATGGAATGCTGGATGAAAAAGGTGCCCGTCCTTGCAGACATTGTGGTAGCAGAAAGCATTGGGACAGGGATTGCAAATACACCAGAAAGGGAGAAAAACGCGCTAGAGCGAACATGGTTACAACCGCAGCAGAAGACGAGCAAGCACAGGAGGATTATGACAATGCCTATTACAAATGATTTAGTGATGAAGAAGAAAGTTTAAACAACGACGTGGATTTTCAGAAGCCCTCTCAGCTGTAAAGGTTTCGAAGCTGGGAGGGGTAAGTGTAGCAACTTCTTCTCAAGTGCACTCCAACACTGAAACTTGGCAGCAGAACCTTTTGAATCCGTATTCCAATGCTCCCTCTCTAAACTCTTCATTTGTAAGACACTCGGTGCTGCCAACTATTAATCATAAGACACGTTGAAAACTTTCCAAAGAAATTAATAGTAATTTGTTGCATACGCAGACACAAGAAAGCCGTAGTACGGACAAACCAATTATCGAATTAAAAAGACATCTATCTCAACCACTTGGATGCGCCTTTTTGGGGCATGCACTATGGAAACTCTGGCCTGCCTCAACAACCCTAAGGGAAAATCA